AATCACCTGAAAAATGTGTGAGTTAATCCTCTAGCTATTTTTAATGCTTATAAGACATTATTATTGAGAGCTCTGAGGAGTGCATTAGGTACTGTGTGCTTCCAGGAACTTCTAGACCAATTGGAGAGAGTCCAGAAAAAGGTTCAAAGTTAGAAGTAATACGTGGCTTACAGGGAAAGCTTAAAATGAAAAAGACAGACCTCAGTTTTTAAGTGTGTAAAATGCTGCTGTAAAGAAATAGGGAGTGTGTATTCCCAGTCCATAGTGTACAGGCTTAGTTAAACTAATGCATTTAAATTAAAATAAGGGTGGCTTAGGCTACACATATAGAAAACTTTTCAACAGTAGGGAACAAAGCCCTGAACGGATTGAGTTTGGAAGGTTTTAAAAATCCGGGGTTGCTCAGACTGCCAACAAGAAGAGCCTGTTGGAATTGCTAGGTCCTCTTGCTCGCACTCCTATCTGTAGATCTTTTTTTTCAGTCTTTTGTGTGTTTTGATCACTTAGTTTGATCTTATCTCATTATCTACGTTTTTTTCTTTCCTTCTTGCGGTGCTGCCTGGTGTTTTCTTCTTCCCTGCCATGCTGTTTTGTTTCTGCCGATTTCCACTTGTAGTTCAGATGTAGAACAGAAAAACAATTGTTTCTCTTCCATGAGTTAGATGTGGTTTTTTTTTGTCTTGCTTGTACAAAAGCATACTTTCACGAATCACCTTTCTTCTCAGGAGTCAGTTTTTCAGATCATCTTGTCTTGCAGGTGTCCACTGAGCTTAAGTTCTCTCTGCAGCTTCTCTCTTCCATCACTACTTCTGATTTCCATCTGAACTCTGTCTCTGTTCCCAGCTGGATCTCTCATGTGAAACTCTGTCAAATATCGATTTGTAGTTAATGTACGTTCTGCAACTTTTGTACCTCTTTATTTTGGTTGTCTGCAGGTTTTGGTTTCTTCTGCCTCAGGAACCATCACCATTTTAAAGTGAAGGCAGTCCCTTCTGCGCAGCCCCCCTTTCTGGTGCTCTTTGCTTATTGGCTACCTCAGTGAGTGCCCTCATTTTTAAACGTTTCTCCAAGGTCTGTTCTGCATCCTGGTTTAGTGTCAGGAGTTAACTCTGGTAGTTGTCCTGATCCTTCTGCACTTGAAGTCACCGGCTTCTTCCATTTACTTTTTCCTTGTCAGGTTGATGCAGAGTTAAAAACTGGAATGCTCTTAAATGATGCCTTCGTCAAATTTTGGAATCTAGTACTGGCAAGAAAACATCTTGGTCTTCACAGCTTTTCTGAGTTAGTAGCAGATATGCTGACATGTTTTTGCCCTTCCTTATCTCCTTATCAGCCAACAGTAACAGTGGTAGGTGGAAGTGTGCATCTTAATTCCTCTTGGCCGTTTTCCCTGGTCAGAATTTTGAGTGCTGCCTTCACTTGCAAGTTGTTCAGATCTGGTTTCGTTCTTGTCTCTGTTTTGTTCTTGTGTCAGGCTTTTACACAGTTGTGTTTTTAATTTGAGTTTTCAATGCAACTTTTATTTAAGATTTTCTTTTTGCCGTCACAGAATGAATGGTTATCTTACTATCTCTTGGGTCTAAATTTTTTGCCCAGAAAGGATATTTTGTCCATTTGTGGTGAATAGAATCAAATTTCAATTCAGGAACCCTCTGTTAGCACACTCCTCCTCAGAGCCACCTGGAGGGAAGAACCAAGCCACCTCAATAGGGGAAGGCTGTTGGATGTCCAGAAATGCTCCGAGAGATCCCTCACTGTTATTACGGAATAGTACTAGAAGAAGCCTTTCTTCTTTCTGCTCTATGTTTTATAATCAGAATTTAGTTTTAACTCTACTAATAATGGCATTTTTAGAAACCTAACTACGGAAGAGGATATTTTTAATTGCTTTTAGTGTGTACACTGTTTTCACATAGTTTTCAGTTCAGTTTATCAAGAAGGGTTTTCATCTTAAGCACTTTCTTATTTCTTGAAGTAGTTTCAGCTGTTAATCATAGTCATTGGTTCTGCCAGTTTTGGGGATTTCTTTTACTTTTCATTTTGTTGCATTTTAGTGGGTTTTGTTTGGTTGGTTGGTTTTTTAATTGAGATTTTCTTAAGTGTTAATAGTCTTTTCTGTCAGCCTAAAATCCAATACCATTCATCATTCATTATCAAGTGTAGTACAAAATAATGGAGAGATACTCCAGGATTTGCTTATCTTAACACAGGCCCAAATGAGTGTACTAATGCTGTCCTCTTACAGACCTACAGCATTTCTGTGGAAAAATTATGTGCTCACATAAAACAGATTTGACATTAATTGTTACTGTTTGTTAAGAGAATTTTGTTGTTTAGCACACTTGGTTATCCCTAACAGGAAAGCAAACTTGCGCTATTACTTCATTGATTATTAGTCAAGCATTTTTGCTTTGGGGAGAATGTAATTTAGAAATATGTCAGTATTTATATTTGAGTGTTTACTTTTTTTTTGTTTTCTTTATTTTGAACACCATTACGGGAATTCCTTGGTACTTTTTAGTAATCCCTGTGACATTGAAAGTCACAAAAGTAAAAGACTCAGGCAGAGAACCCAACTGTCTGTACAGAGTGGGATGCAGTACCTTATTCTTTTAGTGAGGCTGTAGCAGGTCTGATGTCAGTCACTTCAGAGACCTTTAGACCTCAGTGCTCATTTATTGCTAAAATGTACCAGCTCTGCTCCTGCATTATGAAGATCATCTGTCAACACTTTGAGATATTCTCCTTTGTTATTAAGCTTGTGATGCTCTACACTGTCAGGTTTTTTGCCAATTATAGTTAAGGTACAATGGTGTATTCACTGGATCAAAGTCTCACACTGGCGGTAGAGGAATGATTTGTAAGTCTTTATTCATCTGAATTGTACAATAGAATACCTGAGGAATGCAAATAATCCCTCTAAGGACTCAATAGAAAAGCTGTTAAAATGACAGTCTAAGACTATTATTATTCTGAATTGGTGTTTTAGCCAAAGTAATTATTTCTTATCTTGTTGTTCCATAATAGTTCTTAGTTTATTAGTTAGGATGACCATATTTACCAAACAGAATTTGAATCCCATTTTTGACGTTACTTTCATGCTCATTTCACTTTTTCAAGTTTGCGTGTTTCATTCTGTCTTTCACTTGGTACATTATTTAATTAGTCTAGAGACCAGTGTTAGATACTTTTTTTTTAAAAAAAAAGCATGTATGCACAGATGTTGAAGTACACTTATGAACAGCAGATCCATTTCTAGATACACTTTCTGTAAAAGGTTGGCATTTATAAGCTCTGAACTTTGATATCCAGTTTGTTAGCCAAAATAAATTAGTTAACTACAAATGTCAGTTTTAGAAGTGCTGTTAAATGTCACGTCACATTCAGAAATGCACCTTAATTGTGATTTTCAGTTCAGACGTTTCTGAAGGCGATAGTGTTTCAGTATCAGTCCTCGATGCCAGACTATATTTTCATTGGATAACTGGAGGAAAGAAAGATTAGTATAATGAGGATTGAAAACCACTGATGGGGTATTTACATAAGTAAATGATAGAAGACCAGCCTTATATAACAAACGTGTGAAAACTGTTGAGTGAACTTTTATATTCTTTGTCCCATCTAAAACCCTACTCAGTGGGCCATGCACTTAATCTCATAATAGCTCTGATCCCCTGCTATTTTCTTTGACAAATGTGTGTTGATGAACTTGTGGTTCAGTTCATTTTTTTTTTTTCTGAAGTGACATTTGCATTGATTATTTAAAGGTTTGCAGGCCACAGTTTCAAAGCACTTTAGTATAATAGCAGTTAAAACCTTAGTCTAAATCTTGGAGATTAGCAGGACTAAGAAAAAGAACTCAGCAAGCATAAAACCCTGTGCTGTATGGTGGGTGCTTCAGGTCTGAAACATCCACGGCACCCAAAGTACTGTATTTGGTACTGTGTGTCTTAGTGTACGGCAAGTATTCCCATGCCTCTTGTGTTTTCTTGCCGAGCATACAGAGTTGTCATTCTTACCATTCACACCTGTTCAGATATAGTGCCCTATAAATAACATGGAGCTCCTTACAGGTAATTTATGAATGTCTCCCTTAAATTTAAAATAAAGAGTATTTGCAGTCATGAATGTGATACCTGTCTTTAAAGATTGTTTAAACATCAGCTATTGCTGCAAAGATTTTCTTAATTTTCAACAGGATATTGAAAATTCATAAACTAGCACCATAAATCTGTAGCTCTAAATTTGTAGTTTCGTTCAACTAAAAAAAAAAAAAAAGTATTAGATGTACAGAAAACTATTACTGATGCTGCCAGTTATTGAAAATGAAGAGAAATAAGGAATTGGATTCTTTATTTAAAAATAATAGGAGTATAATATCTAGAAGCTTTGTCCTGGGGAGATAGTAGAAGGGTGGGAGAAACTAGTAGAAACCACGGCCCAGTATTCATTAGCTATGGCATACTCCAAGATCAATAGCCAGAAAAAGCAGGGTGCTGCTTGCTATCTAGGAGTTTATGGAGTGCAGTGTTCTTTTCTGTCTGCTAATATCAGCTGCCCTAGCCACTGAGATGCTTTTAAAAAAAAAAAAAAAGAGAGGAAAAACTGAAGCCCCCCCCCCAGTTTTACTGCATTTGATAAATATCGCTCTTGGAAGTGTCAGAAAAATGTACATCCACAGATCTACAAAGTTTTATTCAGTTAGCATTTTAGATTGCAAGTATTTAACCTCTACCAAAAACCTAGTTATTGTTTCAAATTATGCCTATTTCTGATAGATTAAATGCCAAACAGAAACCAAGAAACAGTGAAATGTTAATGGAGTACACCTGAAGCAATTGCTGCCTGTTAATGCCTTGACCTTGGAAAGCAATACACAAAAAGATGGCATCATAAAACCGTGCAATTCTTATGAATATGTATGTGCTACTTGATAATAATGAATGTGGTACAGCCATGCATGCACTACAAGATAATGTTGTGCTCTTTGTTGTGTACAGGTTGATAAAAATTAAAGAGTGGGTGGACAAGCACGACCCGGGTGCTTTGGTCATTCCTTTTAGTGGGGCCTTGGAACTCAAGTTGCAAGATATGAGTGCTGAGGAGAAACAGAAGTATCTGGAAGAGAACATGACACAAAGGTTAATTAGCATTCATTTTCCCTAC